ACCACGGAAAAGGGAAGATGATGTGGGTTCCTTTCTTGAGACTCCTTAAAAATTATACACACTTCATTCTACTGGCAGGAGCTTGAGTTGCACGTTCTTGCAACTGCACAAGAGGCTGAGATGTTAAAATCTTAGGAAGAGCAGGGCATGGATACTGGAGACCGTTTCTGCATCAGTAGTTTCAGGGCTTGCACAGGGCACTAGGGAACGGTTCCCTCCTTCTTCTTTTTCCTCCGTCTTTCTGGTTACAAAAACAAGAGCTAATATGGATGTTAGTCTACTGTGTGCCCAGAGTACAGATTTTACATAAACAAGATTCTTCTCTCTCTCCAACTCTTCCCACATTTCCTGTAAGTACACTATTTATTTTGTGCTGTCAAGTTAGAATTGACACATAGCTGACCTTCCCTAGTGAGTTTTTGGAGGCTATTAAATGTCTAGAAGATGGTCTTTCTCCTGTGGAGCAGCTACTAGACTCAAACCACTTGCCTTTGGGTTGGCAGCGCAACTCCTTACTAGGAAGTCATCAGAGCTCCCTTGGTCTGCTTCTAGGTTGGACATTCTGGCTCCAGGGTGATTAGGAGTGTGCACAGTGCATCTCTGACAGATTCCCCAACTCTGCATTCAAGGTACCACCTCACTTTCGTGGCCCAAAGTGAAGGCCAAGAGTGTTGTCCCATTTTCCTTCTAGTTTGGCATCTTGCCCAAGGACTAGATGATCTTGATAGTTCATCCTTAGTAACTGGGTTTTTACTAGTTATGGACTGCCAAGAAAACAAACAGATTCATCCTGGAGAGGGTTAAGCCAGGCTACTCCTTGGAAGCAAGGATTCTGGGGCTTCGTCTGACATACTTTGGACATGTTGTAAGGAGAGACAGGTCCTTGGAGAGGGACGTCATGCTTGCTAAGGTGGAGGGACAGTGCAGAAGGGGAAGACCCTCTATGAGGTGGATTGATTCAGTGACTGGGGTAATCGGGATGGGTGTGTCTGAGGCAATGCGATTGGCTCAGGATAGAGCAGGGTTTAGGGCTGTTGTACATAGGGTCGCTATGAGTCACAAATGACTCGATGGCACATAACAACAATCCTCATGTCTTTCCTTTTACTGTACAGTATCCTTCCTTCTGAGCTGCTGTAGTTACGTGTCATGGAACTGAATCATAGCTGATCCTTGAGCAGATTTTCAGAGGCTGTAAGTTACACAGGAGGAAACTGCCTATATTTCTCCATGGAGCAGCTGATAGGTTTGGACTGAATGAGTTTGAATTGGCAGCGTAGCTTCTTAGCCACTAGGCCATCAGAGCTCCCTCTCCTGCTGAATGAATATTACTCAGTCTGGTGCATTAGTTGGTCCATGACCACATAAATTTGATAAGTCATGCAGATTTGACTTGGACTATGATCTGACTCTATGGCCCACGTTTTTAATAGCTTTGTTTTCAGTCCAAACTTATCACTCAGAAAACCCAAAATCCTAAGAGGGAGGGGAGCAAATAAAATTCAACAAGTATAAAATTTCTGAACAACTCCTTTAGTGGGCCAAAAAATGACTGGACCTTGTTGTTATGCGCCGTCAAGTTGCTAGCTGAACAGAAGATTTCAAAAGGCAGTGCGGGATGACAAAGTAAAATATTACAATGAAATGTGCAAGGAGTTGGAGTCAGAAAACCAAAAGGGTCAAAATCGCTCAGCATTTCTTAAGCTCAAGGAACTGAAGAACAAATTCAAACCTCGAGTTGCTGTAATCAAGGATGCTTTAGGCAGAGTACTAAATAATCCAGGAGGTATCAAAAGAAGATGGAAAGAATATACTGAGTCATTGTATCAAAAGGAATTGGCAGACACAGAAGAATTTAATAAAACAACATATGAGCAAGAGCCTATGGTGATGAAGGAAGAAGTTCAAGCTGCTTTGAAGGAACTTGCAAACAATAGGCCCCAGGAATAGATGGCATACCAATTGACATATTTCAGCTAACAGATGCTGCTCTGGATGTGCTCACCAAGTTGTGTCAAGAAATCTGGGGAACAACCACTTGGCCAACTGACTGGAAGAGATCTATATTTGTTCCCATTCCAAAGAAGAGTGTGGAAATTATAGAACAATATTGCTGATTTCACATGCAAACAAGATTCTGCTGAAGATTATCCAAAAACGACTGGAACAGCACATCAGCAGAGTCCAGGCTGGGTTTAGGAGGGGTCGTGGGACTAGGGATATTGTAGCTAATGTTGGATGGATCTTAGCTGAAAGCAGGGAGTACCAGAGGAATGTCTATCTGTGCTTCATTGATTATGCAAAGGCGTTTGACTGTGTGGATCATAACAAACTGTGGCTGACTCTGAGAAGAATGGGAATCCCAGAACACTTGATCGTGCGAATGCGAAACTTATACTTGGACCAAGAGGCAGTCGTCAGAACAGAGGGAAACACTGCATGGTTCAAAATTGGGAAGGGCGTATGCCAGGGATGTGTCCTGTCTCCATACCTTTTCAACCTCTATGCAGAACAGATCCTCTGGGAGGCTGGGCTCGATGAGAACTGCGGCATCAGGATTGGTGGAAGATCTATCAACAATCTGTGTTATGCAGATGACACAACCCTGCTTGACTGGACCATATCATTGAATATCAAGGGTCCATGTCTTCCTAAGATTGTAGGTAATGTCTGAGTAGGAGCCTGGGTGGCACAGTCATTGAACACTAAGCTGCCAACTAAAATGTCAGCAGTTCAAACTCACCAGTTCCTTTGAAGGAAAGGTGAGGCAGTGTGCTCTCACAAAGATTTACAGCCTTGGAAATGCAATGGGGCAGTTCTTTTGTCCATAGACCCACTAGGAATCACAACCAACTTGAGGGCAGTGGGTAAGGAGCTCTGGTGGGGCACTCGTTAAGAGCCAGGAGGCTAACCTGAGGATTGGCAGTTTGAAAATACTCGCAGTGAAAGAAATGTGGCAATCTGCCTCTGAAAGATTAGCCTTCAAAACCCTATTGGGCAATTGGCCCTGCAGGGACTGATTTGCAATCTACTTAAGGCATGGGGTGTTTTTGTTTAATGTTTGAGTAATTTGTTCTAGACACTGTGCTGAGTGCTTGGTAACATGCTAATTTCATGTCTAATACAAACCTGTAAGTTAAATAAACTAATTTCTATTCTCGTTTTAAAGATAAGGAAATTGAGTCAGAGAAGCCACAGAACTTCTAAGTGGAAACAATCCCAAACAGTCCCACTTCAGAGTTTGTGCTCCTCTACTGTGGGCACATCATTCTCTCAAGTCAGTGTTTTTATGATTCAATGATCTCTGCTGCTTACTTCACATTTGTAAGGCTTTAGTCTGGGGGTCTGCTTTGGCACAAAAGGAAACAGCTTATGGTCCTTTTTATGACATCCTGGAAGAATTTCCAGAGTCAGGCTATTTAATATTTAACTAAGCCAAGAAAGTAATAAAGAAGTTGTAGAATGTCTTTGAAATATGTCTATAAAACTTATCCTTTCCTGGTGAGAAGCTGAGCTCAAAACTTCCCTAGCCAACAGCTTTGCTTTAGAAAGACAAGAAAACTCTTGAGTCTCACTTTATTATTCGAACTTGTAACCTAAGTTGGTCTAAGGCTGCCACAAGCATATGTTCCACTGATTCAATAAAGGATATTTATAAAATTTTATAAGCAATTACAAGAAAGATTGTTATAAAGACAGCTCTTTCCTCTCAATGCTCAAGTCTGCCTAGGAAAAAGAGACGAGGCAAATCTTAATCAAGGTAACTGTCCTCCACAGAGATAGTCACACTCAAGCCACTCCTCTACAAAGCATCTGTAGAAGGTATTTGTAACCAAATTCTGTAAGAAACGACAAGTTAATTTGGTTTACTGCAAAGCTGCTCAGAGCCTTTTTTATTTAAAGAAAAAAGAACTCTATATCTTCCAATTAGCATTTTGTTAAACTGACAGTTTGCAAGTTTTTACTATAATATCTATATACACACAATTTTTTTAAGCTTAATAGTTGAATCTATGATGGCATTTCTCCTTGTTAAACCATGTTAAATGTGATCAAATACCAACAGATATAAGACCTCCAATCACAGCTGAAGGAGCCCCCATGACACAGTGGTTAAGTGCTTGCTAACCAAAAGAACAGCAGTTCGTACCCACTGCAAGGTTAACAGATGTAGCAGTGTGCTTCCATAAAGTTTTACATGGAAACCCTCTGAGGCCATTCCACTATGTTCAGGGAGTGGACATGAGTCAGAATTAACTCAGTGGTACAGGTCTGGTTAAGGCAGGCGAAAGAGTATTACAGAAATGTTTCAGTTTGAACTTTAACACAGTAACACAGGCTCATTTTGTGCATGGCCCCTCAGGACATGATGTCAGCTGTGCCCTTGAGAGAAGTCTCATTACCAATGGTTACTTACGACAGCCAGTGCCCCAATGGACCAGGAAACAGTGGCCAAGAAAGTACAAAAAAGAAAAGTGCTTCAATTTCACAATGAATCAAACTTCTTATATTCAAGAAGTCTAGAAAGGTATCAGGAGGAAGCAGTTCCTGGAGAAGGGCATCATGCTTGGAAAAAGAGGACCCTTAACAAGACAGAGTGGCAGTGGGGTTATGCACAGCAACTGTGAAGATGGTGCAGAAGTGAGCAGGGCGTGCTTCTGTTACACAGAGTCACAAGGAGTCACAACCTTCTTGTCTCACTAAGAACGAGTTAAGGGTTAAGACAGGTTCTGGTTTTTCCATTTTAAAAAAGCTGGGAGGAAGACCTTTCTGATAGCCACAAGGGCAATAATTTTCATACTATTCAAATATCTGGAAAAAAACGAGTCAAAACAAACTTACACCCATGTCTTCAATATAGAGCATAAATGAAAACACATGAAATACCTTAAGAAAAATCAATAGCTTTATTTTTCCTCAATATACATTTAGAAAATAGATTGCAGAAAAGGCCTCATGAAGTAGACTGGAGGACTATGTACAGAGTCAAGAGTTCCAAACCCAAGGCCACATGGTAGCCTAGACCTTTCCCATCAGAGGTGAGGCAAGGTCTTTGGTGACTTTGGAGTTCAGCTGAGGAATTGTGCTGATCTTCAGGAGTCTGCTGCTCGCGTACTTATTCTTGACAGCCTGCAGAAGTCATTTGTGATTTAAACACACATCAGGATCCTGCCTTATACCTTATTCTTAGTTTGATAAGTATCTAAGGGCCCCACCCCCATCTCCAGATGCCGTAATTCTTGATGAGGTCATCAAAAATTCTGAAGTTATAAAATGTTATTCCGGTTCATCTGCATCTACACTTACTAGACTCATCTGATAGTACAGGCATTGAAGGAACAAATGATTTCAAGTTCAAGGAGCAGGCTTTCTCTCACAAACTAACAGAAGAGCTATTATAAATATATGTGTGTGTGTGTGTATAATGTTTATATATGTGTTTTATATATATATATAAATATATATAGTGTTTATATAGTAAAGGGCCATCAAGACATAACGGACTAGCCAGACTGTTAGCAGTAATGAGCAATAAAACTGAGTGGCAATTAGTACTTAGCTGATCACAGATACCTTCAGTATGGGGAACACATTTCACTTCCACAGTGTCTTAAATCAAACTAAAGTTACATATAGCAAAGTTAAGTCGTATTGTGAGGACACATGATACCTTGCTCTTTGTCACTAGACTCTTTATTTGGTGCCAAATCAGGATGAGACCAAATCATCTTGCTCAGGTGAGCCACAGTGAGAATGACTCTAGGCCACAGATGCTTCCTGAAAGGGCCTCCTGCCCCGTTTTTCACTCTGTTCACTAATCAGGTGCCTTCCAGTCACTGTCCTAAAATATGCTGGACAAAGGTTCTGAATATTAAAGCCAGAATACCCAAGACTCCCAGAGTCATGTAAGGCATCTTTGCTCTCTGGTCACATGCCAACCAGTCTTTTCTACTTGCAGAGAGCCTACCCAGTATGTTCATGAGAATACAGCAAATAATCATAAACTGATTAGTGTGGCTACAAACCAGCTGGGCTTAAGTATCATTATTTTTCAAAGAAAAAGAAAATACTTTCAAAATAATTTGTGTGCACCAATTTGCTCTATCCCCTGCTGCACTAGAAAAGTATAAACAACTTGCTTCCAATAGGCTCTCACATATGTATTTACACAAAAACACACATGAACACAGTCCAATCCTTTCCACAGCTTAAGCGAAAAAAACAGTACTTACAATGAATTTCGTTAAGTTTTCATTTACTTTGAGTACATTTTTGGCCATGTGCTGCATGACTTCCAACAGCTCACTCTCTGTATATCCAGTGTAGTATTCCTGCTTTAAACTCTGGTACACAAAGCAGAGAGAAAGAAGATGAGACTGAGGCTTTGAGGAGCAAAATAAAACCTGTACTACTTACTTTAGGAGAGCACACTTTGGCAAGAAGCTGCACTGCAATCCCAGAGGAACATGGTTCAAATCCTCTGCTGGAGAAGGAGGGGCAATCTGTACCAGATGGATGAGATTTGACAGTACACTCTCAAACAATAATTAAAAGAAGAAAAAAAAAGCACACTTTGTACATGCAGTCATTACTTATGTAACACTTTAAAAACTTTTTAATAAGTTTAAATTTATTATTAATTTCAGTAAAAATTTACAGAGACTCTGGATTTCCATTCATTCATTGTTGCACTTTTCTCCCCTCCCAACCCTTCCCCCCTAGTACACTACCCTCTTGGAAAAGTAAAAGAAAAATTCTTTCATTGTTTTACAAACCCTCCCTCAGGTCCACTCCACCATGTAGCCATTGCTCTAGACTATGGTCATGACAAAAATACCTAATCACATGTCCCTTTTAAACAGTTTTCTCCCTCATCTGTTTCCGTGCAGTATACATTATTGAACCCATCTTACTCAGTCTCTCCCCAACCCCAAGGTCAGTCCTCTTTTACAACAGTGGCACCATACAATATTTGTCATTTTGTGACTGAGATATTTCACTCAGCATAATGTCCTCCGGGGTCACCCATTTTGAATAATATTGCATGAGTTCCTTGTTTTTCAATGCAGTGTAGT